TGAATGGCAATTAAGCAAACTTCTGTGGTGTTTGTGCAAACTAAATATTCCTTGGTAATGAATGTGTGCCTGATTTTAAATTCTAAATACAATGCGTTTGTTTGCACTCATTCAGATCTGTCTGAATATAAGTGCATTATTTCATGGATTCCTAGTTCATATAGTAACTCAAACATTTGGAATCAACCAACATACGAACAAACTCTGCAAAACATATAATCAAGTATCATAAAATAATAGGTAAAAAACGAAGAATATGAGACTATAATTAGAAAAACATTCTAGAAAAGTTTCAAACGCTTGTTGAAGAAATGTAATGTTTACCTAAAACAGCTAAAACATCATAACTTGGTATAGAAAATTCGCCTGTCCTAAACTCGAGTAATACATACAGCCGGCCAGCTCCTACATAAAACGAAATGACGAACCGTTGAAAAAGGTCCAAAGAACAGTTACTAAGCTACAAACAAATGTCTCATGAAACAAAGCGGACGGTAACGAACCAAACTGCTAGGTTTGAAGCGGTTACGAGTTCACTTAATCTGAGAACTTGAAAAAACACGGTGACCAAAGACCAATAAGCTAGCAATTCGATGCGTCCCAGCCCCGCTAACGAGAGGAATAAGCCCACGCTTGAAATGGGGAAGTATATTCCACAAGCTCCACAAGCACGAGCCGTAAAAACAGTAACAAATCAGAACGTGTATATACGGCACAAACTGTCTTTGAAGAGAGTGAAAAAACAGCATAATAAAAGACACAACGGACCAAAACCATAAAAGATTCACTCACGTGAGAAATATTTCGTTCCTTCCATTTCTGTCAAAGTTCATCACCACAATAGTCAATGAAAGGTTTATGGAACACATGGAGCTGAACAACTTATTAAAAGAGACAATATACATTTCCGTGTCTACAACCGACTTCGCAGGACAAATAAACAATTTTCAGTTTCACCTTCAGATCGTTTGTATTTCCTTCACCTTCCATTCAAACCTTGGGGATATATCTTAATGTCTGATGGCTCTTCGACGTTTCATGTCGTCAGAGTAGATGAGGATCAGTTAACCCAGATATTTCTGTAGATCAATGATAAATATATAGAAAATGAAAGGACGAAAAGTGGCTCATTGAGAGAATTTTGGGTTTCCAGATATTTTCAATACTGACGGACTCATTCTACCAGACTAACTGATCCGATCCAGCATAAATGACTCGCAGCAATGTTAGTGTCTAATCCATGTGACTTTACGTTGAAGCCGCACCACTTTTATCCTGAATTATGCCGTGATATTTAGGGTGCTCTGCTTCTAGTAAGAAATGCACTCTTACGGACAGAATAGTATGCTTAATATGTGGACGAAAGTGATACATAGAAATGCCACTCTAGTTTTTCTGAGCCTCGTCGTCTCATTTATGTTCCTGAGTTGGTCTTTACTGACTGTCGCTAATTCACATCCCCATTCCGTGTGCAACAATGAATCTTATGGCATGAAGCTGTCCTACCTACTTATAAAAACCGTGCAGCGATGGAAGAATATGAGCAACGTTTTACCGGTGCAGGACATGATTGTAAATTCCGAGTTCTGGTCATTCTCGTGTGATCAAACTAGTCTATTTTCCGACGTAGTATATTATAATTCAATCTTACAGTTGTTTCTTCTATGGTTTAGATCAAGGCTGGGAACATGTAAGTGTTACAAATGATTATCAGCGTTATATATGATGTTGTTGCTCACTGTTGGGTCACCTCTGAACCTTCCATATGTTGACTGTCTGGTAAGTTAGTAATTGAGTCCAGACATGTTTTAGTACGCAGTAAAGTGCATCTTCAAGGGTGACTGTTCATCTGAAAATTCCACGCGCTACAATACATCAACCCTTAGTCCAAATATAATTTTCCCACAATTCAACTCTACTTGTAGGCCCTCTAGGGTTATTGCCAGTCTGAAGCTCGGATAATGAGGGGAGGGCTGAGCATGGGATTAACACACCCGCCCCGTAAAAGACAATTAGCTAAAGAACGCTTAACTGAAAACCATTAGGGCCAGTTGGACTCTGCCCTGAGTGTTGAAGGACTTTCATTTAGAAGAGTTATAACGTCTAATGGTAAAGGTCGAGATTCCATGGGAGTCATGAGGCCACTTACCCCCTCTAACAACAAACGTAAAAACTCACATAGGCATATAGAATGTTCTCACAATGCAAGAAACTAGGCGGACCAACCAAGTAGCTACGAAAGTAAGTAGATACATCCTGGCGGTGTTAGGAATGGTGGGACTATAATTTATGCACGAAGCAATTAGATTTGACATCGCAGGTCATGGATTTCGGCGCGGTATTTATTCACTTATTTGGTTAAGTATCATTTTGGCATTATGGCTGATGTCAGTGCGTGATGATAACATTAAATCTCATTCAACTGTCAATCCTAATCCTAATTACTCACACAAATATGTAACCCTCATTTAACCCTAATAAGTAGGTGGACATTCCATGGTCATTTAAGCGCCGCTCATAGTCGTCCACAAATTAAAGCTTCACCCCCTGAGTAAATCAAACCCATTGAATATAAACTGGACAGAAGATGTGTGCTTCGGTGGAGGTAAGAAAATCACTGTGATTCAGAAACGGCGGAACGGGTGGGTAGAGCACTTTGAAGAGCTCTTGAATAGACCAGCCTCACTGCGCCCGCCAAACATTGAGACAGCACACATGTGCCTTCCCGTAGTTATTACCTCACCGACAATCGAAGAAATTACCATGTCCACCAGACAAATCAAGAATGAGAAGACAGCACGGCCAGAGAATACAGCAACTGAAGCACTGACGTCAGGCATAGGGATAATTGCAAAGATGCTCCACATCTTACTCAGAAGGGTTTGGGAAGAAAAACAAGTGACGACAAACTAGAAAAAAAGGAGATCTCGGCATGGATGAGAACTATAAAGGCATTGTACTACAATCAGCTACGAGATAAGTTCCGACAGTGTTGCTGAACGGAATGAAGGATCCAGTTGATGCCCAACTTCAAGATAACGGGCTGGATTCCGTAAGGCCCAATCATATACCGACCAAATCACGACACTACGGATCACTGGCGAAAATTCAATTGAGTGAAGTTCATCACTATATATGAACACCTCTAACCTTGGGAAAGCATCTGACAGAGTGGATAGAAGAACTTTAAATAACCTTCATTTACACTATGGTGTATCTGAGAAGATCATCACTACCATACGGATTTCATGCGGTAGACTACACTGCAGAGTCGTGCACGGAGACAGCCCACAGATGCTCTCCAAGCGAAATTGACTCTAGGGAGATTCAAGTTCCCTAGAATCAGGAAATGAGTGAATCCGAAACGAGTAGAGAGTGATAGTCCTTCCAGCATACGACTGTCAATGGACACGTAGCCTACCTATATAAGGTTCGCCGAGTTGATAGGCCCTGTCCTTTACAAGTGTTTTTAATCATCAAGACAGTCCACAAGTGTAATTATCGGCTCCGACTTGCCTTTGTGCTTGGTCCTGGTTTCATATGGCCTGTCCGCATGCATGTGGATTCCAGTTGGCAACCGACGTCTGTTGGTACGAAATGCTTCCATGGTTGCAGCCGCCATATGAGAGGATGGGAAAGTTATCCTCATTAGTCGGGGTTTAGAATCACCGTCCTCCTTCGCTAGTCTCGTTACATGTTGAGCAAGTATGTTTTTGAGCCTAAAGAACTGTTTGATGAATTTCCATTCCCTAATATCAGAATTTGCTTGACTAGGGTCTGTGTTTTCTGGTACACTTTGCACAATTACATTTCTTTCGCGGAAAAACTTCTCGTGAGATTCTTTAGGGATGTTCCGGTTGAGATTGCGCTCAGAATACGATGTGTCGACCAGTATTCCTACGTTATCATCAGATTCCAGTAAATGACTAGCTAGCAGGACATTCTCTACATCGGTAGCATTCCTTAGTGCTACACGAAGAAGACTCGGGTGATATTGATGCTTAGATTCCTTTCCTAGAGTGAGCCGTGTGACCGTCAAAGACTCTATTCTAGGAAGTTCAAGTTTCTTGTTCAATGCACCTCAGATCATCCTGTCATTTTTGTCCTGCAAACTGAGAGAAAGGTCAAGGCTGTCTTTGAGGTTCATAATTATGAGAGAGTCATCACGAACCGTTATTTGCCGACAACTGGCAATTTTTAGACTAGTCAGATAATTTCTCCAGGTCATTTTGACCCTTTAAACCACCACATTTACTTTTTACCTTGACGTTGTCAGCATACAACAAAAACCGATGATGTTAGGATACTAGGAAGGTGATTTACACACAGGAGAAATAACACAAGCCCCAAAAATGTACCCCGAGGCACTTCGCTAATCACAGTTTCCTAGACAACTTTGGATTCGTGTATCACAACTTGTTTATGCATGCTTGTTTTCATATACACAGGTCCCTACGGTGAAGCAATGGTCATCAGCTGAAGCTGGACATAGAAGTTAGGCAAGTTGGAGTACATGCGTCTTAGAGGTTCCTGCCTGAGGTATTGGTGATCCACTGCCACCAGATGCGGAAGTCTGCTAAGCGAAAGCTTCTTATTTTCCGTCCACATCCATTTGAAGTTTTGTGCCCGTTGACCTGACTCCATTTAGAGCGTACGAATGATTGTATGAATGTTTGCTATCGCTAATTCTCGTATATCATCGTCGACTTAAATCGCGTTATCCAATAACGGAATTAAATAAGTCGAATAACGAGAATTGATTTGTGAATACATATATTTCGTACATGAAGCGAATGAAGCACAGCAAAGCAAAAATGAGACGTATGGAAGATGGCTGGGAAGCCAACTCCATCTTTGTCAAGCGTTACTCAATATTTATAGGCAGACAAAATAAACTACAGACATGTGATGAATCATGGGACATGAAGTGTACATGCATATACGGTCATGTGAAAACAGCCAAGGCTAATAAGCGAATAATTAACAAGGTCAAAATATTACTCAAGTAGAATGAATATAATGGAATGTCCGAAAACTAGAGTAAGATATATTATGGGCTAAAATTAATGACTAACACTACAGAAGTGAAAGCTCCTCCTACTTTGACCACAACAATTGATTCTGTTTGTTTTGATGAATCGATTGGATTTACGATATAATTAGTAATCTGGCGTTACATGAAAATGTCCAAAATACCATTCAAGAATGATGGAAGTTTTATGGAATTGTTCAAGCAAATGCAAGGTAATTATCAAACAGTTATGTCTTATTCCTCTAGCTGAACAAGAAAGAGTATCTATTGAGAAGCCTGTTATTCCGAATGTAGCTTCATATATTTTGTCCATTTTTCTGTTTAGGTAGTAAAGGTAGAAAATACGGATGAATTTGACAGGTAGCTTATACTACACCAGTAAACTATTTGTTTTTAGCAAGCAGTGCAAAACGGAGAGTGAAACAGGTAGTTGCTTTGTGTGGAATTTTTATCTCCCTATTCTATGAATGGAATTCTAAGTGCCATATTTCCAGTTATTCCCGATGATTCAAAGGTTTTGGTGGCAATCGAATCGTTGGTCCTACGTGTTTCTGGTATGTCCCACAGTCTTTGCGAAGCAGAAATAAAGAAGTTTGAGGATAGCATACAGTATTGGTACGTTGGTTTTCGTGATCCTAATTCATGTTCTCTTAGGTTCCTGACGCTTCCAGAGACTAATGAGTACAAGTTCTTTAGAAAAAGATTGGCTGATGTTCGTAAGCAAAAGACACTCAGTAGTTCAGTCAGTAAGTTCGTGTTTACCGTATTTTGATTTATCTTTGCCATGATACACAGCCGGAGGGCCTGTACAGTTCACGAGCTGCATTATCAAATTCATAAATATCGTAAAAATTAACTGGTGCAGTGTTTACCAGCGTTATATTTTAGGTCACTTCATAGTCGTGGCTTGGTAATTTACTCAATAATGTACCTCTCGAAGTACGTGTTTACGCACGTTGCCCAAGACTGCACTATGTGAGTGCCAATGGTGTCAACCGTTTACACCAAAATAGATTAGGCTTGAAACTTGTCCTTAGGAGCCCAATACGGTAAGATAGTCAGTCACCTGTATAGTTCATGGATAAAAGGCAGGTTATTCACAGGAAACTTGTAAAAGTCGTAAATTAAAGTTAATTTATTCAAAGACTCAGCTATTTCGTTGTATCGAAAATCCGGTTTATACGCTCAGAAAGTGAAGCTCGCGGAAATATGCAAGTTTCCATGTTGTGCAGTCGTAACTTCCTATCATAGTGACTAAGACTATCAGATAATTTTATGGCATATTAATCGAATGTAGATATACTGCAAACGATTGGGACTAATGACGTCAAAATGCAAAGCTATTTGTTCTGGTGTTCATGTGTCATTTTCAAAACTATGATTAGTGCTTTGGGAAGGGATCGGAATGTAAAAAACTTCACCCACTGTTTATTTTAAAAATACAAAGTGTTATCCTAAAGAATGTTTTCATTTCAGAATTAAAATAATATGTGATGCCGATCATTCCATTCCTCTTAGTCTTGTCTCCTTGATTCCCCTTCCATGAAAGTTTGTTCACTGCTATAAAGTGATCAGTTCGTACTCTTCGGTTTGTCTTTCTGCATTATTCAAATGTTCGCCCTCAAATTGAGTCGAGTTTGGGGTAGATAGTAATTTGGCTTCGTTAACTATTCAGTTGTAGTGAGGTTGCCTAAGAAGAAATGTAAGAAGATGTTATGAATTTTTTTCACCAATTTGTCTAAAGTACTAGTCAGGTAAACAAATCACCACTACACAAAACTGAGCCAGACACGTTTTGACTAGACAATAGTATCAGAAATGTGGCAAAACCAAGTCTTTATATGTTGAGATATCGTTTGTGTGTGGCGGAACACTTCGTTGAGAGAATCGATTAAGTGGAGGCAGCATAGAGTAGAATAAGTTAAATAAATCCAACTCTATTGTGCGGAACTACATTATTGGTATATCATGCATCAAAGTTGAAACTACACCAAGTTTGGATTCATTATGGTCAGATTTTGTCAAAGTATGTGAAAAAATAGCAACCATTGGAAGTAATAACACTTGGAAATGAATCACTTTAAATATCACCTGGGAATAGGCTAATTCTTATTTACGCTTTTATTTTTGTATTGAAATGTTTGTTTTCAATATTTTAATCCTTGTATCACTGTCAGTCGTGTACAATATAGAATCTAACATGTTTAGTCCAAGTTGCTATACTACAACACAGGGAGATAAAGTTAAGTCGAATTCCGGAGTAGTAAAGTAGAAGCAGTATAAGTAGTATAAAAGACTAGGTATTAAAAAAGAACAGAAAAGTATAAGCAGATTATGGGACTCCGGTTATCAGGGAGGACAAAATGTGAATGCACCTACGTCATTTTGAACAATCCTGAGCCATGTCACGAAAACTCTGACCATTTGTCAATCTAGTTGATCTACACATGTCTACATGGTTCAGTCCAGTTTCCAGGGACTTTGTAGCCTGATGCCACGTCTTGGTTTAACCGCCTTTAGCGTTCTTCCAACCTACTTCTGCACCAGTGAGCGTCATTCGTCAAGTTAGGCAGTGGTTAGGTATACGTAATAAGTGTTCTGATCATCAGTTGATGAAGACCAACAACCTCACCAACCAATATGTCGTCTTTGCCAAGTGCCCTATTCCTAACCTCAGCATTGCTCACTCTGTGGTCTAAAAGTATTCGGGTTATATCTCAAAGACTCTTTTCATCGAATAATAGTAATCTACGAATATCCTCTATTTCTAATGACCATGTTTCACACCTGAAAAATAGATCAGTGCGAAGTGTTGCTCAGTAAACTCATCATTTTGTCGGCAGACGGATATCTCGCCTACGCTACAAGAGTCTTAAGTTGTCAAAGACCAACCGAGCCTTTGGAACCCGTCCCGTAATTTCATCAAACAGCAACTCACTAGAGCTAGTGGAACGTTCAAGGTGAGTGAGGCAGTTGACGCGCCCAACTACTTCACTCCTTATCATTAAGGGACAGGCGCAGGCCAGTCCTGAAGCAATAGTTTGCATTTGGAGGGAGAGAATCGTATCCAAAACTTCCCTGGAATGTTGCTTAAGGTGGTGGAAAAACTGGATTTTGTCAGCGTCTTCATCAAACTGCAGTATACTATGAATACGTACTTCGTTTGAAGATCATAAAAGATAAGAATACATAAGAGTTAGACGCTCTGCTTTTACTGTAATAGCAAGCTTTATGTTAACTAGTTGTTTGGTACTGTCCTTGTAGCTGCCATAAACATGACTTAGCGTTCACCAGTAATACTAATATTTGATGGGTTTAATGGCATTCAATGAAGTAAATAAAAAACACTCAAAAATCTGGTCTTTGCAATCTGAGTCAAGCCAACAGCGCGACATCTGTGTAAATAAAATCACCGATATGTGTGGTGTATGTTGCTTATGCTAACAGATATAAGTAGTATATAGCAGCAATCGGAACTAGAATATCTGCCAGCAGAAGATTAAAATAAATAGAAAAGGTAACAGAGAGAAATTGGAATAAAAACTGAATTGGAAGAAGGAAGAAGTATGTACAGGACAGCTGGAAATGTGCAAATAATATATTTAATGTATGAGTTTCATATTTTCCAAAAAACACTGTAATTTTAAATAAGAACTTTCGTTTAAATTTGAACGAATAGTTTCACAATATTTGGGCGCCGAGTTAATGTGAGACATTAAAAAGGAAGAATGTATTTGTAAAATCTCAGCGAAAGAATTTGAAGTAATTCCAACGTTTCGCCTGGCAATCTGGTCCAAGCTTTTTCAAGGAAAATATAATCAAACAACAAAATTATCGAATGTAAATAGGTACATGGTTCTTCGGTTAACCTATTTATATTCGATAATTTTGTTGTTTGATTATATTTTCCTTGAAAAAGCTTGGGCCAGATTGCCAGGCGAAACATTGGAATTACTTCAAATTCTTTCGCTGAGATTTTACAAATACATTCTTCCTTTTTAATGACTGTAATTTTGCACAAAATAAATTGGCTTTTCCCACCAAGACCACTCACTACATAAGATTCACTGTCTTTTACAATGACTATGCTTGTATTTGTTATCTTGATTTATTGGTATCTACTGTTCTACTTGTCATCTTAGATTCTCTCTTATATAGAATAACGATATGAGTACTTAGTCGAGCTCAAAATTGTCATTAAAAATGTGAGAACTGTTATTTAACTACTGCGTTGTTTGGGAATCTAAGCAGATATAAAACTACTTTGTTGTCTTAGCTATGTTTTCGAAGTGACACACGTTTCTGGGATGTCGTAAGTCTCACACTAGGGTTATATATCGTGTGCAAGATTGTGAAAATTTTGTTCTCTGAGCTGGATGGTTTGGTCGTGGGGCTTTGATCGTTCTTCTGAACGACATCATCAGCACAAACTTCAGGTAGAACGATGAAAGCTCCACGACCAAATCATCCAGCTCAGAGAACAAAACCACCAAAATCATCCATCTGAGCTACAAATCTTCCCCACCATCTCAAGATTGTGAAAAACAATGGGTCATTGCTATCATCAGACTTATTTTTTTTATTTAAGTTAGGTAATAGGTTTTCACTGATTTCCAGATGTGCTTGAATGTAAAATTCATTTGATCTAGATGTGCTGTTAACAATTAGTATTTAGTAACAGTTTATTTAGAACTTCATGTTCAATAACACATTTTTGTCTTAGAACCTGAAGCTGTAGATAATTGCAAATCAGAAATTGATGAATTTATCCCCACCAAAAGACGTCGCTCCAGATGGGACGAAGAAACCAATGAACCTAAAATAAATGGATCAGTAAAAGATTTCCCGGATGGCTCTTTGGCCTCTGCGATTGCACTAGCAAAAGCTGCTGCAGCTGCTGCAAAAACTCAAGGTAACTTTATCAAACTTATATTTCTTTTTTGTTTTCAGCAATATGAACGTGAACTACCTGGTAACAGAAGATTAACGGAAAGTAGACTTAGCTGTTTTAAGGGTCGACTTAGTTGGAATGAGAAGTTACTTCAAGATTATGTCATCACTATGACTCGGCATGTAGGACGGCATTATGCTAAAAAAGGTAAAGGATAACCAAATCGATGATCGAATTTGGTATCTTGCTCATCACCCTGTTTTCTATACCAAGAAGCCCAGCAAGTTAAGCATTGTGTTCGATTGTACAGCTCAGTATGCCGGGACGTCTTTGACACAAGAATCTTGATTCTGGACCTGATTTAGTCAATAACTTATTAGATATCTTGAACAGGTTTCGGCGACGACTAATAAGTCTTATGGTGGACATTACAGCCATGTGTCACCAAGTAGTAGTTCCGCTACACGATCCAAACATTCAGGTATTTGTGGTGGTCAAGAGGGGACTTAGAACGGAGCCAGAGGTCTATATCATGAAACTCCATCTGTTCAGAGCAACCTCATCGCCATACTGCGCTACGTCTGCTTTGCAGAAAACGACTTATGATCATCAAGATAATTTCCTCAAATGTATTACGAAAGCATCCAAGGGACAGTTCTATGTGGACGATTTATTGATAGTTGTGGAGACTATATGAGAAGCCCAATTGATATATTCACATTTCAAAAGCATTCTAAGCGTAGGAGGATCTAACTTAACTAAATGGACTAATAGCAGTGCTTAAGTTCATTCTAGAGGAAGACCGTATTGAAGGCAACACTTACGTTTGTGAGTCCAACGAGGCAAGTAAAAAAATACTGGAGTTAAACGTCCGAACTGGCGAATTGTATTTCGAAGTCCATGCATTTCATAGAAACTCAACCAGAAGAATTACTTTGTCGTATGTAGCATCTATTTTTGATCCGATTAGGTTTATAGCTCCAATAGTATTGCCAGCCAAAATGATCTTACAAAATATCTGTCAACAGAAACTAGACTGAGGCGTAGAGCTACCCATTGATTGTCAAACGAAGTGGAGCATTTGGTGTAGGCATATAAAAGAGTTGAGTGCTTGCATATGGTGTTATCAGATCTATTCGTTATGATAGTTTTTGGTTGAAGTAACTGCTCATTTCTGCTGTTATTATTATTTATTATTTTAACAAACATTTGTACAAGGATGAACCAAATATATATGCGCCACAAAAATCATTCGATTTGTGTGAGGTCTGGAATATTGCCTGGATGCTCAAGCCGAAGCAGGTGGTTTTCATAGGATGTCACATCTCGAGCATTTGACCTAAAGGTCTAACCCACAACACAGTTGATAAACGTTAAGAGGTAAAGTCTCATGGTAGTTGGTGACCAACAATAGGTTCATACACCATTTGTCGCCTCAGGATCCTGGAGCCTATGTGCACCATTGGTTTGGAATCAGGGTTTTCTTACTCCCCTTGGTGGGTCCTCCATATCCTCTAACCCGGTTAAAGCACCAGAAATTCGCTTTTCGTTCACTCGCTTTCGTAAACAACACCGCCGCGAGAAGGCAGTGAGAGGGACTTCCTTGACAGTGGCTGCGTACGTGCGGTCATGTGGGAACGATTCGAGGAGAGTAATCTGTCTTCACCATCGGTCGTACCAGGACATTTGAAGGAGAGAAATTGCTGAGCCCGACGTGATTTGAACACGCAACCCTCTGATCTGGAGTCAGAAACGCTACAGTTGCACTGGCTAAGTCTAGGATCATTTCCTTGAAACTTGTTATGACACCTAGAATGGAGCTAACGGTCTGCGTGCTATGTGTTAAGATTAAGAAACATGTAGAAGGACAGCTAAATACCCCCATTTTCTCGGTCACTTATTGAACATGTTCGCTGGTCGTGCTTCATTATATAAAAGGTACGACTAAAAGGTTTGAAAGGTTTGTGAGTTATAGGTTAGCAACTATATATGATTTATACACACCAAACGAATGGAGATACATCTAGGTCACATATAACTCTGGCACCCTGGAGACGCTTAGTCCGAATAAGTCGTTGATTTATAAAATATTATCATTTGAACCAGCATTCACCGACAAAACTTTATTATATAATAGATCTGAGGAAGCACAGAGGTTAACTACCGTGTTTTGGAATAAACGAATACGAGAATATCTGCCTACCATTCAAGTGAGGTATAAATTGTTGAACATATGAAAACAATTACAACCAAGCAATTTATTACTCGTTAGCAAAATTGAAGCAAGTAGGAGTCTATGACCTAAAGCCATTGTCGAGCGAGGAAGCTATGGTCCTGACGGATGGGTCCGCACGGCGAAGTTGAGGATGACAATTAAAAAATAGTTCGAGATGTATGAGATCTACACATACTTGGAGAGGCCATTTTTAACTCTGATAATCCAGGATGATCGAGGTGATTGGCTTTTCGGGAAGAGTGTGAGTTTTGGTCGATAAACGAGGTCATCAATGGTAGCATTAAGCGCTCCGCCACGACTTTCTCTGACTTTATGTGAATAGACCATGTTTATTCACTAATTACAGTCTTTCATGTTTTTCATAAACGGTTTTAAGTTTTGTTGACTCATTTTTCCTGTCGTCCAGTTTCTGTTCGGTATGTTATTTATATTTATATTTCCACTGTTTAATAGACTGTGTTAATTTACGTTTTAGAAACAGATAAGGTCTATCAAGCCAGCTAGTTTACTTGTTCTGACCTTGGTCAAGCTTAAACTGTGTCGGGAGCCTCGAGATTGTTTTCGAATTGCGTATGTAGGCAATCACTTTCTACACGACTCGAATGGTAAATATTTAGTCTATACATTCACATAGTTCTTAAATGTCTCTGGTTTCTTCGTGTTTATTGTTCTTAGACTATAGTAAAACACTTCATTATTATGTAAGCTGATATTTTAAAAGCCATACCAGTCAAACTAATGTCTCTTTGTCATCCGAAGAAAATCCTTATCTTTTCTCACATACTAGTTCGGTTACCAACAACTAATGACTACATGGAACTACTTTTAACTTTCATGACTCCGAGAGTCAACCAATCACTATCTCCTGCTTTCCCTCTCTTTCTAAGTTTGAGCTTTGTAACCTAAGGTCTGAATAGTTAATGTCAAAGTAAATTTATCTGGAAATTCATTTATTTTAATTTCATGTGAAAGTATTTGCTTTGTAAATAGGCTAAGATGCTTTATTTTTGTCTCTGAGTTGGTGTTTTCTCTATTTATTGATACAATGTGCTTGCTGATTTTAGGAACTACTTCTAATCCAAATCAGTTCACAGGCGGTGTTGTACTTACACCTGAGCAAGCTGAACAAATACGTTATCAAAAGGAAGTACGTTGTCAGTTACAGCATGTTTATATCGGTTCTCTAAGATATGTATTATTTTTAACGGTCAAAGCTTTGTTTTTAGCGACGTTTATGGTTTGGGTAAACCCGCAACTTGATTTGTCCTTAAATAATATAACTTAGTGGTATTCCTTTTAATGAGTGACTGCATTTTAAACGGTATAGTATTCTGCACCAATGTCTTCAAATTTCATGTTCCTTAATTTCACGAAATCCTATGATATTAATAACAAACTCCACTATCGCCAATGGAGATCGTCTAATTTCAACTCGCTTTGAAGACTGTTCAGCAATGGTAACCAAAAATTGTCCTACTTTCATTTCTGATTGTTCAATTTTCTACACTTGTCAAACTGATCTTACCTAGACTCTCTATCCTTCATGGGCCTTAGGCCATCGATAAGGGGTCTCGAATCGTCTCTATCCTCAGCTCTCCTTCCTAGTATTTGGCAAGTTCTATTCATTGTTCTGATGTCTATTTCTGATTCTTAGCATCACGTATGTTTTAGTATGCCTTTTCTTCATGCCTTGAAGATTACAAGTTAGAGCTTGCATTGTGGCGTAGTTCAACGGTTTTCATATGTTGCCCTGTCCAGTCCAATCGTCTTCTGGTTTTCTCCTAAACTGGTAGCTGATCTGTCCTCTGACACAGTAAGTTACTTTCGATAGCCTCTAGCCAACAGATTTGGAGTATTTTGGGTAACTAACTTTATAAATATTTGTACTTTCTGGATGATAGTCGTAGCAGTTCTCTAATTTTCAGCTTTGTACAATAGAACGTTCTTAATGCTTGTGTTAAAAATTCTGACTTTTGTTGAGTGTGATGGTTGTTTAGAGTTCCAGATATTCTTCAATTGTAGTAATGCTACCCTTGCTTTTACAATTCGTGCCGTCACATCGGAGCCAGATCCTCCTTGTTTATCAATGATGCTACCTAGATATATTCTATTGTATTGTTAGTGGAGCACCGTATACATGGAGGTTTGTTTATTCTCTGATGCTTTTGGGGGTTCGGTATACCTGATCTATTCAAGTGCTTTACGGAATTACTCTATCTACCTGTTTGACTGCTCTTGAACCTCAGTTATTGATTTCCCTTTCTTGTTATTGACTGGTCGCTCTTGTTTACTGTATTTCCCCTCTCACTTCTTGGTCGTATCATATGGTTTACAAATTTATTTCTGTTGCAGCCTGTTCTGTCATTGCTAGGTCTTATACATGTTTCCTCTTCCCAACTGTAATGCTTTTAAATCATCTTTTATTTACTTTCGTATTTTCAACTTGTGCCTTGACTTGCTCTGATTCTGTCTGGCTGTTATTGACTTTTCTTGTCTCGCCGTTCTGGAACGCCGTCCGGGCTGTCGACGGAGACCTTTTCGGTGTTCTGGTTCTTTTTGGATGCCACCATATCCAGATATATTAAAGTTATCCTTCCTTTAATCTTTTTCCATTTTCCCATAGTGGTTTCCTCTTGTTGGGATATTCAGAAAAATATCCCAAAGATTGTTCTGTTAAGTCTAATGCTATCCTTGAACTTGAGATGGTATTATTTTCTTATTGGTCAGTATTTATTTCACGTGTGGTTTTCCTACTGGTCAATATTGTACAATGTTATTTTCTATTTTATGGTACGATGTGGTCTGCTTGATTGGTATATAAACAGAGTATGTTTGAAATATAATGATTCATATCTCAGAGGCTGAGAATTGCGTTTTGAACTCAACTGGCTGAGCTAGACAGGGAAGCGGATCCAATCAGAACTCTAGGTCGTTCTTACGTGTTTACGCGTCTTTGGTCCGATCGATAATACACTGCGCTCTAATTCTGCAGTCCACAGTCACAACATCTGTGAGTAGATCTTGTAAGGCTTGGAACTTATTGCTGAGACCTATCTTAAGTTCGCCGAGCTTGTGAGCATATGGAAGGAAAACTACTAAATTTTTTAGTACTGCTTGTCCAGTAGTCCAATGCTTCCCCAACTTTTCCGCCACCAAATGATGATCTGAAGCCAAATAAGTTTATTTGTTCTTACGTCTTTCTTGAACCCTCCAAATTTTTTATTGATACGAATATCGATTAGGTTTCTGTAGTGTCGTCCGGTGAAACCAATGTAGCTTTGTTTGCATACATCCATGTTAAGAAAAGATCCACCAGTCTCTAGTCTATATATAACATCAGTAGCGCTTATCTTGAGATTCTGCCATGCAAAAACGGTGCTTTAAAAACATAAATGATAAAGTGCTTACGATTCACTTCCGTCTTTTTCGAAAGCCATACTTCACAGCTGGGAAGTAACACAAGTTAGAATGTTGTATACCCACTGTTCGATAGATATATAGATAGACATTATTTGCACCAAGGATAGCATTAGTTAGCAAGAGAAGTAAAACTACAGGATTCATCAATCTTTACAACTTTTTATGCTAGTAATAACAGTTAGAAGTCGGAGAATATAGTGTATCAAGTTCTGGTCAATAAAGATAGATAAGTACTTATAAATATTGGTGAAATGGCGATCACATGCATTGCAGTCGTCGGTCTTTTGTATTAACGCTTCGTAGTGCGCAGATCACATGCCTGTTTTAGTGAAAATGCTTGCAAGATGGTGAGCCTTTTGAGCGTTTTGGATTAGAGCCTTGGTTGAGTCTCTTGCACCTTTAATTTGAAATACTCTTTTGCTGGTTCGTAGTAAAGCTTTGGAGTACATTGCTATTATCGTCTGCTCTAGATCATAGTTTAACCATATCCTTATTGATTTTTCGAACGGTGATTAATAATTATCTCTCCCATCTGTATCCAATTTTGATTCAAGATTAATAATGTCTTCTCCTTCGTCCTAAAATTGATACTCCGTTTATGTGGTCACAGTTGAAGAAAAAGGTTACCGTTACTTGTTCACCCGGGGGGAGATTAGAGAAATTTCCCTTGAAATGCTCTCTTACTTGACTTACTTCAAACTAGTGATACCAAAATATCAGCCTTGTATTTAGGTATTATGAATGAAACCATCTTTCCATTCCTATAAATCAAGTACATTTTGTCACAGCAATATATATTCTAAACAATCAAATATGAGGTACGAATTAAACTTAATATGGTTTATCTTGTAGCTTTCAAAACTATCGTTTGTTGAAACAATATTGATTTCGCTTACTAGCCTTGGTTCTACATTGCGTGTAGTTGACTAACTTACTAGTGCAGTCGACTGACAATATAGTCATTCATAGTCCTCTAGTGCCTATTCGTTTTCGTGCCATCTTACATTTGATCGTCAGTAAGTTGGAAGATATCTCAATTAGATATATCATCTATTATAATCTAACTCAGTTATTCATCGCTCACCATTTTAACGGTGTAACCACGTGATTAAATATGATATGGTGAAATTATGAGTGTAATGCTAAAAAGTCACATAACTAGGTGAATTAACTATTCAGTTCTGTCTTTGATGGTTTTTCAAAAAATTACCAAAAGATCTCATCTGTTGCCAAATACTTTATTCCAATAATTCTTTTTGATTCGATTAGTAATTTGCAATCAAATTAACATTAAATCTTTATACGTTGTTATTTCCTCAGCTTCAAGCTATGCAAGAGTTTATTTTAGCACAAAAACGATCAAAGTCTAAAGAGGAAGAACTTATGAATCGAATTGAGGGTGTAAATTATGGAAATAAAACAAGAATTACGAAGGATGGTTTAGTTATCAAATATGAGTATGATTCCGACGAGGACTGTGAAAATGGAACATGGGAGCATAAATTAAGACAAGCGGAAATGGAGGCAACCCGAGGTAATTTTTTTCTGTACTCCCAGTGGATGTTCAGTTTCCTGTAGTTGAGATTTATAGTTTAGATATATTTTGTAAACCTTAGAATGGTAGGTACTTAGTGTACAAATAGTAACCTAGAATAAGTGGATTTCTGTTACAAAATATAGTACAACTACGGATCTGGTTAGTGAAACAATGGGATTATGAATATACATAAAGGTCGTGGATAATAAGGATTATAAGAAAAAGAGTGAAGATCAACCTCGCATAGTTTATCTCAAGAATTTACTAAACTTTGTGCTCATTATCAAGTAACAATTGAATCAACAAACTTTTAAGAAAACGTATTAGAGAGGAGTAGGGCGCGAAGTGAGATAAGTAATGAGTAAAGTCCTGTTAACCTGTTCATCTTTCATTTTATGATAAGGCAACAATGCACACACTGTACATCTTTTTGCAAATATTCATGTTGCTCCCATAGACTTCGAAATATGATTAATCTAATATGTATTTTATTTCGATCAGTTTCTGTTTTAAATTGTAAAGTTCCTTTCATAGAATATTTTTAGCCTTTTATTCACATAACATTTTCATGACATTTTGTGTAGATTTTTGTGATTTATTAATCCACACTACTTGTTTCTTACATCTTTATTTAATTTATAGAATGGGCTCAGAAATTAACTGAAATGGGTCATGGAAAACATCATATTGGGGACTTTCTACCACCGGACGAATTAGAGCGCTTCATGGAAACTTTCCGTGTAAGTTGCATAATTATTATTCTCATATGTATTAAAATATGCTTCAGTTATTACACATGTCACCACGGGGAATCAACCGTCATAAAGGCACGAACAGCTCGACTGTTGATGACGTATTTGTAAAACAGGAGAAATTCAACAATCGTTGGAACCGTTTCTCTTTTGATAAAATCGAATACTTTGGGTGTTCACCTTCATGGCCATCGGAACAGCTGTTAAAGAACCCTATTTTTCTTTTCTGTTTTTACACATCCTGTATATGTCGATACCTAATAGGCTTTAATAGTTAGTATAACGGCAGAATACGAATATTTTCTGTTTACCATGCTATAATAATGGTATAAAACTGGTGACCCAGATTGTATCATGACTAAACCTCGATATTCGATCGATACGCTATGTACAAATGGGATCATAATCGGGTATACACTTAACGACATAAAATAGAGCACCATTGTACAGGCTAGACAACGCTTTATTCAACACAATTACAAGCAGTTTATAATCCAGAGTAGAAATCATTAATAGGAAGAAAAGCAAGGAAATAACAGTAGCTCCTTTCAATGAATTTACATAAGACGCAAATCTTGAATCGTCACCTTCCGTTTTGAGGGCTGGTAAATTCAGTGGCTTTTTTGGTAGGTTTAACTGAAAAAATTCTGCCTCATATCGCAAAAATTCCTGTGGGTTCATTCGCTTTTCAAAATAATGAAAAGCTAAGTCAACAACACTAAATGCTAATATTCCTGGAACGAAACGTGATCTAGGTTAGTCCAATTCTGTTTCAATTACTCTTCAAATCTATTAATTATTATTGTACACAACAGAGTTCGATCCACGAATATGTTTCTGTCATACTCTGTGGTTGTATGAGTTTGTTAGTGATGTATGCGCATCCTACATCCGAGTGAGCAAACCAAAGGTAAATCGAGAAAGTTTATTGGCTAACCTAAATCAAAACATGTGCGCAACTCATTCATAAATATATATCTATCTCCCTCAGGAAATAAAAGCAGATTTTCAGTCAACAACTTATGTCTTTTCCTCCGAAAGTTAAGACTGTGCTCGTTCACATCTCTCACAGCTTGTCCTGTAGACAGAACAAGCTGTGAGCCATATGTGGAGAAATTCGAACACTTCACTTCTACCTGAAGTTCGTACAGATGATGTCGTTCAAATTAACGATGAAAGCTCCACGACCAAACCATCCAGTTCAGGGAACAAAACCCCATCAGAATCATCCACTTGAGCTACAAATCTCTCCACCATCTCTCACTTATGTTTGATTGGCTCAGCATATCATTCTCCAGCATGAAAACCATGTATGAAATCCTGTTACGATCCAAGCACGAGTCTCTCACTTCACGGCGAGAGAATATTGCTCTCTCAGACTGCTTGACCGCTAACATTAACACATTCAATATTGATAAGTTTCAAAACAAAATCTCTGGGGATAAGTATGTTTTTGAATCTGCACGTACAGTGTTTAATGAATTTCGAGTGTCGTATTGAATAAATAAATGTTGACTGGATAGTTCTCAATGCACTATGTTCCTGTTAGTCTTCTTTCCTGTTTTTTTTCGCTTACCGTTGACATTGCTTATTTTTGCGTTGAATATGAGGTAGTTTTTAGAATTTATTTAATTCGCAATTAGGCATTGAAAGAAGGTCGGGAACCGGATTTTTCTGAATACAAACAGTTCAAGTTAACTTGTGAAAATGTCGGTTTTCAAATGTTAGAAAAAATGGGTTGGAAAGAAGGTGAAGGACTTGGCATTGATGGTCAAGGTATTGTTAATCCAGTCAATAAGTGAGTCCAGAATTTTACCGCTCACCATGATCTATTCTTTTTAATATCTTTTTCTGAGAATGGATGGGGATAAAGATTTGTGTTTAAACACTTAATTACTTGTTCAATTTTCCGAAATTTTATTCAAAGGGGGAATGTCCACGTTGATGGTGTAGGACTAGGAATTGATCGTCCTTCCAAATTAATAAAAGAAGATGATGAGTACGATGCATACAGGAAACGTATGATGTTAGCTTATCGGTTTCGACCAAATCCTTTGGTAAGTGTAGTATAGTAAGCGACGAGTTTTTTTATTTCCAGCTTACAATCTACATAGTGCAAAGTGATCCGATGTCTAACAATTAATGTTTTCTTATTGAACTGAGATGTAGCTTTTTTTCTCGAAATCTGATGCAACAGACAGATGTGTAGATTCACTGTTTCTCATTTTCACCCTAGACTAGTTATATAAGATCTGATACATAACATTTAACATTTTCTTGGTTAAATGTCGAAAAAATCAATACTTAATGTGCTTCCAGTCAGTTGATTGGTGTTTCTAGTGTTTAGTTTTTTTATTCGAGTTTCGGCTTCTGAACTGTTCAACGGCTATTCATTCGAGTTTTTATTGAGTCTATTGTTCTATCATAACAAGCACGAGTCTTCTACGGAGTTGATTGATGTAGAAAAACTCCAATCGTAGCTACTGCCGTAATGTGGTAGTCATACTTGTCTATCGTGATGACTCAGTTGAGCTATAGTTGCTGAAACACTTGTTCCTTTAAGTTTTATCGTACTAAGCAGGTTGGTTCTTCTTATCACTAATGCTGTTACTACTTGTGCTAGTCTAGAATTGTGGGCTGATAATTTTACCTCTCCTTCCTTATGAGGTGTGGGAACGTGAACCGATGTAGATACGTAAAAGGCTCTGTGTTGTGACTGACTGACCTGGAGAGTGGTAAGACTAATAGCATCGACTTAGGGTCTGAGGGCGAATTCGAACTACTAACTGTACTGGGATGTAATTGCAGCAAAGTGTTTCCTTCGGACAAACAGCATCTGTAGCGATGCTACCTTAACACAACGAAAGAGAGCTTAGAAAAGGTCGACCCCAAAAATGTCACATTTCACAGATTTCTGTAATAGGCGGCAAGGCTTTTTAAAGTACGGAGCTAACACAATACAAATCCCTCTCAGAAAGGCCGTATATGATCAGCCTCAAGAAGTTGTCTCATGGGCTCTCCACAGTCATATTCCCGGGTCGTTAAAACCACCAGTCCTTTTTTCAAGTCTCAAGAGAAAATATCATCCCATGTTATGGGCAGCCGGGAAGTGACAAATGCCTTCACGTCCCTAGCAGCACTCGGTGTCATATTATTCATCATCAAATCCCCTCCTCATCTCTTAACGTCTCATCGATGACTAACCCTTATAGTATATCTTTATCACCACGTGTCACCAATAATAATGATTTGAGTTGATAAAGTGTTATTCCTGGTCTCCTGAATCCACTATCTAAACTGCATGTTGGAGCTTTCAATGTTCGAACCTTGTGTCAGATAGGACAACCGGCTTCTTTGGCTAGGACTCTAGAATCTCGAGCCATTGATGTGTAGTGTCTCCGGAACGCGCATGCAGGATTCGAGTACGGCCATTCATTTGGCCTCACCTTGAGTGTCTGGAGACCCCACTGCTATTCCTCTTAGCCTTGCTGGTTTGGGTACATCATTAAGTTCTAAAGTAGAACAGGCTCTGTTAGACTGGGTCCCAATAGACAGTCACTTGTGCGCTGTTCGACTTAACGGGACAGTAAGTAATCTAAAAGATAGAGACATGTGCCATTGTCTTTTCGTTGACTCTGCTTATACTCTCACTAAGAAGCTATCAAACCTCCATCAAAAGCCAAATACTGTGATGTAGAGTCACAGCGCCAGGTGATTTTAATTCTCAAGTAGATAGACTAAATCAATCCGAAAGGCACTGAGGCGGATCTTGCGGTGTCGCGGCTCAGAGAACAGATAATGGTGACCGTCTGTTGCAACTATGCTCAGATGACCGTCTATTTCTAGCAAACACAAACTGTAAACATGAGAAGAGACATCGTCTGACGTGGTGACCTCTACAATCGATTCAGCGATGAACTCAAATAAACCTCATTTCCATCAGTCATCGTTGGAGGGGCCCGACAGAGGACTGCTGCTCATTCTGGAGCTTATGTTTAGATTCAGATCACGCTCCATTGTGAGGACGTATTTATCTGTGTCTTACAGGAAACAGAAAATACACATTATGAATACTCGTCACAATTCAACTTAATGATAAAAAAGAATGGAAAAAGTATTTCAGAATCGACCAGAAATGTAGTTAGTCAACCATGAAGGTGATATCCACAGCGGGTCAGTTTGACATGCTATCCGAACAGTCATGAAAATAGCAGTGATAGCAACCAGCAAATTAAATCAAAAGGCGAAGAGATATCAGTGGTGTCTACAGAACTGATAGATGCTCGGAATTTCATCCCGTCTGGTTCAGAACATGGTAAGGAGCGGAGGTATCTTAAATGTAGGTTGATAAAAAGCCTACGTAATGATCGTGAGCAGTATTTATTTATTTTATTAATTTGAAGACATAAATATTGGTACAAAAGGGTACCAAATATATATGCGCAACACAAAACAATGAGAATGGGAAGAGAAAAAAAGAAGGTTAGGAGCGTAACAGAAGAAGAGGAAAACAATAACAACCAGATTAGTGTAAGGTAGTGTGATAATAATAATAATAATAATAGTAATAATAAAAATAGAAGTACTTTGCACTTCGAAGGTGCAAAGCACATACCGTACCTGCGGACATTGCTTGCCAACTGATTAAGTGCGGATTGCATGGCTTGGACATTATCGCACAGTAAGACAATATCATCCGCATACTCAAGGTCGAGAAGTCTTTCTCCAGAGAACAGTCCTGTCCAACGAATCAAAGTTCGTCCTGATGTCAAGAAACACTAAGATTGTTGGCCTGTGATAAGTATGACGGTGTTCTAACATTTAGCAGAGGGTGAAGATATGATCAATACATCCTCGACCAGAACGAAAATCAGCCTGCTCCTCGCTAGTCAATCTTTCTCGGGTTTGGAACAGCCCACGAAGTATGACAGAAGCCAATAGCTTGGAAGTAGACTTATCCCCTGATAGTTGTTACAGGAACGACGTGAACCGTTTTTAAAGATAGGGTCAACTATCGACTCATTCCATGACGTTAGTACACTCTCTAGTTCCCAAACCTTTGTAAACAACGTCGTCAGTTCCCTAACGAGAAATTTACCACCATCTTTAAAGAGAGCCGGAGGCAAGCCATCTGGGCCAGGTGATTTGTAGCGTTTCAAGAGTTGGAGTTCCTTGTGGACTTCCGCCTCATTTGGTGAATCAGTCGTCACCGGTCATGGAGGGCAGGACAGTCTGACCGATGTTGCCCGAGCAGCAGGCCAGTTGAACTGCCCTTCGAAGAATTCTGCCCATCGTTTCATTTTATTTGTGTGTGGGCTCTGATACTGTCCGGGTACCCAGACCGAAGCAGGTAGTTTTCTTAGGAGGCCACACCTCGAGCCTTTGACCTAAATATCTGACCCACAGGGCAGTGGGGCATCGTGAGGAGATACAGTCCCATGGTAGACGGTGACCAACGATTGGTTCATACGCCATTTGTTCCCTCAGGATACTGGAGCCCATGTGCACCATTTGTTTGGGATCCGGTTAGAGCGCCGGACATTCGCCTTTCGTCCTCTCATTTTCGTAAACAACAGTAATGCCACGAGAAGGCAGTGAGTAGGACTTCTCTGGCAGAGGCTGTATACGCATGGTCGTGTGAGAGTATTTCGAGAGGGAGGGCGGGCCCACCACACTCGGCCATACCAGGGCATTTGGGGGCTCGTGTGCAGTTGTGGGTAACGAAAGCAGAAGAGATGAAAAGGCATCAGCGATAGGTAACAGTAGACATCTGTTCAGTCTTATCAAGGAAACAGGTGTTAAAAGTCCGTTTGTTAATGAAAATATCTCGGGAAACGACGAAACTACTATTCACTCTCAATTCAGGAAACTGAACCGATGGGTAGAACACTTTAGGGAACAGTTCACTTAACCTTCATCCACACCTCGGTTACCCACTATCTCCGAATAAACTGAATGACAAACTAATGTGAGTTCTCCAACTCTTAATGAGGTTGAAGAGGCTATAAGTAATCTAAAACGATGAAGAGCAGCAGAAAAAGATGGACTAACTACTGAGATTTTTAAGGATGATGGTTCAGTTTTAGTGGTTATATTAGCTGAGATCTTATATAGAATTTGAAGACTGGATGTAATGCCATCTGACTGATCTTGATCCCTGACCATCCCAGTCTATAAAAAACGGCTGAAATCTTTTTGTGACATCCTTATGGAGACAACGCTCTTATCGTCTGACTTTTAAGGGTTTGATCTCCTACTTGGAGATTAACTAGCTGACTTGGAAAATGCAGACGATGCAGTCCTGTTAGGTGAAGTTGCTGACAAAATGCAGTCTTTTGTTCACCTTTACCAATAATGTAAGCATTGTCGGCATATGTTTCGGTTAAATCTGTTTTAATCATACCTGCAATGGGATATTATCATTAGCTCTTTGGCTTGTATCGAATTTGAGGACGTTGTAACTCAACTTACGCAAGGTGGAACAACCTAATGTTCTACTTTTTGAATTCCGACTATTTTGTCCGAGGCTTGTTAGTTAAACTTAGTGAGGTTTTTGCTTGCCATTGTATTTCTTTTTTTAGTATGTGTAAATCATTATTGTCTTCAGTTAATCAATGTTATTATTGTTATTTATTTTAGAACAATCCTCGACGAGATTACTATTAATAGTGGTAAAGCAATGTCAATCATATTTGTTTCACAACAAAATAGTTGAGAGGAAACTTGATCAGTCTGTGATTTGGAACCATTTCTTATATTATAATTATGGTTATTATCATTATATACATAAAGGTTTCTAATCATTATCTGTCAGTGTGCAGATTTGTATAATTTTATGGAACTGTGTATTTAAACCGTTGATTTTCTTTTACATGTGTATATGTCATGTCAACTGCCATATAAAATATATAAATACTTTTTTGTGTACACTAACTAGTTTTGCTTGTCTCTTACCCATCATTTGTGCTTGGGCTTGTTCCTGTAAAGATGATTTGTTATCATAATTGGTGCAATTAATGATACTGACCGTGAATGGAGTTGTTGACTGTAATTAAAAAACAAAACCTAGTGTATGTATAATCTGCCTTCGTTTTAATAGCTCTCAAGTTGCACTTTACTAAGTGCCCCAGGTGGACAACTTCAGGAATAACCTGTCAACTTGGGCTTACTTAACTTTTTGATGGATTTCTGTAGGGTGTCAGAGCATTTATTTAATACTAGTTTAAGACTTTGTAAACTAAGGTTATTAGCGTCTGTTGTTTCGTTTATGTACTTTTACACAGTTTTTATGACTGTGCCTCAGTTGTCTTTATGCAGTTGTATCATTGTGCTAAATTGTTGCGTACACCAAACAAGCGATCTGTGAAGTGACCAGTAATGACTCCGTAGACAATACACACTACACAGGCAATTACCAGTTAAAACGTACTTAACCAATACTTTATTTCCATGGTGTTCTAGCTTCATTTGACTCATGATCTCAACAATATAAATTACTAAAATTTCCACAAAACCCCCTTATGATAATAATCAACATATGCTCACTAGTGACTGGCTTCAAGATGTATATCCTGGAGTTCTAGTGAGAAGCAGTGACCAGTGGAGTTCAACCAGGTCTGTTGTGAGATAGTAACTCACTGATGGCAATGTTGGATGTGTTGCTCAATTTCGTGGATTAGTTGAAGTTAGACATTAACACCGTTGGATGCTGGCTCAGTGGTCTAGTGGTTAAATGCTCGCGCGCGAAACCAGTAGGTCCCGGGTTCGAATCCCGCAAGGCTGGGTCGTGGATGCGCACCGCTGATGAGTCCTACAATAGGACTAAAACGACCGTCCAGTGCTTCCATGTTTTCCTTGGTGGTCTAGCTTCAATTGACTCATGATCTCAACAATATAAATTACTAAAATCTCCACAAAACCCCCTTCTGAAAATGAAATCAGTTAGGGGAAGTCTTGTGACGCATAAAAGCCAAAACGTGACGGGCAAAATTTTGTGCTTATACGCGTAATTTTTATTATTGATGATATGCTATGTTTATAAAAATATCCTAATAACTTTGTTTTCCACTATGATTGACCGTTTTGATATAAAGTCAGTTCAATAATTCGCATAAACCTAAAAATCACAGCCGAACAACCTAAGTCACAGTAAATGATAATCACGTTTGCTGTTTTTATACAAATAGGTGGTTTTTTCTGTAAACAGACTTTATGAACTTATTGGTTGCAAACTAATAGGCCATTAGACTTTTATTATGTCTAGTGTTAATATTCACTACAAATCGATCTTGGTTAAATAGGAGGATTTTCCTGGATAGCTAATTTTTCATGTTTAAAAGTTACCGATTCTGTAATCGGGAACTTGGTTTTGTCGTGCTTGTTAAAGATAACTTTATTCATAATATTGATATGAAACAGATTCACTAGATTTTATATTACACTGTAAATCTTCCTACTTCAATTAGTCTTATAGAAATCATTTGTTTATCGAAATTATCATATGAAATTTCAATCCAAACTAATGAACATTTAAGCACGAAACCTGACTATCTTTGGTTTGTGTGCGAGTAGTAAAGCAAAATGAAACAAAATATCGATATTACATTCGCCAAAATTTGGCTGGCAGTTGCATATTTCATGCTTGGTTCATGTACAGTGTAATAAACTCTAGGTGATAATAAAAATATAATTGTTTTGATTGTAATTAGATCAGTGGGATTGGGAACTTGAAAAGTATGGGCGAGATAACAATTACACAGAATGTATCCACCATGTTATAGTGAGTCAGACAAATTTCTTTGATTCTTTCATTTTATTAAAACCACTTTTTAATATTTACATTTATAAGGAAATAAGACAATAACAGGATTGTAATGGTGTGTAATGTCACAACAAACATCCACTTTTACAACTGGACAATTTGTTGGTGCTAGTAGTAGTAATGATAGTTTACTTGGTTCACCTATACCATATCAACCAGTTTGTCAGAGATGCTTTAATCCACTACAATTGGATCAAGATTTTGAACACTTACAGAAAACAGAATTATTGACCTTAATTGGTAAGATATTCTATTTCTTTTTGTAATGTACATTGTATGTTTTGTTTGCTCTCAATAATAAAGTTTATATTTATCAAATTGTTATCACTTTTCGCAGTCAATAGATTAATGAATCAAATGGTTTATTAATAAAAATTAAATAAAGTGACAATAAGACAAGTGAACTTATTAACCTTTAAATAGTGAGTACATTAGACTGATTTTATGTCAGATTTTGTGCTTCTAAATATTCTGTTGATTTCATCGCGTTTTCTAATAACTATTTATTTCGTTATTTTTTGTGACATGGAAAATCCTCGCAGTTGTTTCACGTTAAGAATGCAAACAAATATAATTAGTAGACACTACTCAAGTAAGAAGGCGAACAGAATAGCATTTTTCCTTATTGAACGATCTATATCTTCATTCTGCAAACACAATTTACCCTTTCTCGACTGATACTTAATCGTATGCACTGTTAATTATCCGTCTTATGTGGGTTTATAAACTATATTACTTTTTTATATTTTCAAAAGTGTTTGTAATCAAGTGTATAATCGGTTAATACTTGACTGACCACACCGTGGGGAACGAACTGGGACCAATGGGTTCAACCTTCCTTAGTACTCTTTTTGATCTAGCTTTTTAGAGATATCCATAAAAAGATAAGATCGATTGATTTGCTTAATACCCTTTGGAAACATCTTACTGAGCCCATACCTTATTACAGTCAGCAATGAAACTGAGTTCTGGGCCCTAAGATGTGTTTTTATTTGTTTCCTCTTTCTTAAATCCACCCGACTGGTGGCTGTTCCAGCCATCATAAGTCAGACATATCGTTATGCTTGGGAAACCTGATCGCTATATCAAAGTAATGACTGTGGCCGAGACTTTAATATAAATAAAAGGAATCAATCTTCACACTATTTCTTCCGCCTCCCTGATAGGTTTTTTAAAATTGGTTTTGCAAATACATCTTTTTCAATCTTAGATGCTACGACTACTGACAGTGAAACATCTGATCCAATTAATTTAGTACCTGTTAAAAATTCGACCACTCCTCGACCAAGATTCATCGTCCCACCGAAGTAAGTTTTCTTTAAAAATAGGTACATCTGATGGTTCTTTAATAACTCAGTTTTGGACATAGTTTTGAATATTTATGTGAGTGTAAAAGTTGTCTGATTTTTTTGCATTCTGGGTTGTGTAGAAACTCACCTGAACATAGAAATCAAAACCTTTGAATGAATTGGTTTGTACCCTTCCCAAATCTTATCTATGTACAATCAAGTTGTTCGTGTGATTATTTCTTTGCGGTTCAGTGATGAGACAGCACATCAAGTACAAGTTCATATAATTGGCTTCGCGCCATACTTTGTATCTAAGGGCCAGTGATACTACTGGACTGCCAGAACTGAAATAGGTTGAGTCTTAAACTTGCGGTTTAGTGACTAAACGTTAATCGCCGCACACATTAGGTTTATTTATATATAATCCTTATTTGCTCATTAACTTCATAACTTCTTCGTTGTGTTGGTTATTAAGTTCAGCACTGTCCTTGTTAAATGATGAAGAAGATCCACTTGAAACTCTTCAGTCATATGCCGGACCTACTTCAAGTCTTGACCATCGTCTCAAGGTGAGTTTTAAAAGTGATATTTCAATTTTTAATACTTAAACTGCGAATTATGTCTACTGAACACCAATGTACCTAGACTCTTTCAGACGTTCAAACCAATCAACTCTCCGAATAAGTCTGTTACCTATCAGTGAAATGGAATAACTGTCTCACTGTTTTGTTTTTTAACTGAAGTTGGAAATGTATACCATTGGACTGAGTTTTCTAAAATTAGCGAAATTGGGGCAATAATCGTTATTTTCGTGTTCAGTCTCTAGAAGGTTCATGAATATATGCTGCTGAGGAATCACGTACCCATGTTAAGCGGTTGTTTACAGATCCCCTGTTTTCAGTGATTCTGTAACTAATATCAATCCGTAACGAAACCATCTTCAGATTGAAGGGATTTGGAATCTAATTTCGTATGACATTTGGTTCGAACTGAAACATCTTATAACTCATTAAGCGAAAACTAGTGTTCATGAACTTGAGAATATAATAGAAAGTGATATGATACATTAGCATCAAACAGAATGACCTTATCAACGTAAACTAGTCGAGATTATTAATTGTTTCCCCTTACATTATGCTTCGATAAACATCAACTCAGTGAAAGAGACCTAGTATGTATGTACATCGGTTCAAATTGCTGTACCCCATTAGCACAGCGAGATGAGATTGTTAGGGCAAATTCTAGAGTAGAGAAATATTCATAATCGATAAATGCTAGAAAAAAACTGTTCAGGAAAAGTAAAACTTTATATCAAACAATACCGGTATATTACTTTGAATGATCCAACAAATGTAGAAAATTTCTAGTGGGATTTTTCAAAAACCGTGATAAAATGTTTCCAGTGAAAAGCTACCGTAAGGATTAGGGTTTTCTTTTAACCTACCCTCTGTCAAGATGACAAAAATAATTAAGTGGTACTCGTATTAACTAACCATTGAGCATGTAGGTAATTTTAAATAAATTGAGCATTGGGTAGATTTTTATGAATAAGAATAATAAATTTTAATATTTGTTTTCTGATGAAGTCACGATACGTCAGAAGACTTAATTTTTGTTCCCATTGGGACATTACTCATATATAATTTTTATTAATAATAATTGAGTAGTAACTAGTGTCATATGTGTCTAGTTCTTATTGTTAAACGGTCAATTTTCAATTTAGACACTAGTGTAAATGACTCGATATCACATTCATTATTATTTAGTACTAAGTTGTTTGCACTAGGAATCAGTTAATCAAAATATCCCAGTCCTATAAGAGAACGTGGTGACCAAAATAGTTCAGTTGTAATGTCTCTGACTTTGATATTGGGTGACACCTGTTCTAATCTGCAGTTTGCTTAAGGCTTCAGATAAACCTTTCTGACGAGCGCCAACTAGCACACAACCTAAGTTTATGGGTTCCTGATGATCGTGTCCAACCACCAAATATCAGTTATGAACTTTAAAATAACAAGAAATTCAATATTGACAGCCTAATAGGATGCTCATATATATAATTTTGTGATCTGTCTCTAACCTCAGATTTCTCTTGTTTCTGGACGTCCTTCTAGTTCCCATAAATATCCAACAATTTTACAAATTAATTATATAACTAGATTGAATTCTCCTGCAGTTTCTACAGTAGCTCGCTTTGATCTTTTTTCTAGGCTAAAGATATTTCTTGAACATCTTTATCGCCTTAAATTTGTTACTTCAATAATTGTCCTGCAATTTTCTTTTCTAAAGTTTGATTCCAACTCCCCCATCGTCTACTCTATGATTCCACTCTACATGTTTTAAAAGCAAAACTAATTGAATACTTTCAGTTATCTACATCGTTTTACTTTTGAAAATCATATCTTAAGATTGTATAACAAAACATAGTTTACGTTATATTCATTGTATCTGATTATTTTCATTGTGCGTAATTAGTCTGTTCAGTTTTGTTAATTCGCTGGACATTACTATTGTTGTGACCTCCCGTCTTCGTAATTACAATTTAATTTACTACATATCTAGGTGAATGCCTGTTTATTTGATGTATTAAGTGGTCGTACTGAAGTTGATCATCCTCTATGCCAGGAATGTGCTGATACTTTATTGTTGGCTAAACAACAATGTTTAGAATTTCAGGAAGAAGAAATGAAATGTTTGCAGTGAGTATATAATTTTGTATCGCTTTGTTTTTTCTCTCTATTTATTATTCGAATCAAATTTCAGTTAATGTAAGAAATATTCTTTGTTCATCTATGTATTCATTCAACTCACAGTTTAGTATAGAGGGTTGTAGGGATTGTTGAATTACATAGTTTTACTTCACATACTAGGTTTGGTTAGACAACCACTGTCAGTCAGGGACCGCTAGACAGCAATTCCGTCCTAGTATGTTTATTCACAATCCAACAACTAATCGCTACTTTCACCACTCTATGTATGTCATCGGTTTGTTCAGTTGCACAACAATTTTTTCCTGTGATACGTCGTATAAACGATAAAGTCGGTATTCTTAGTTTTACCTTGTGCGTTCTTTCCTATTATTCAGTATGATCTTTTAAGTTACTCGTGGAAGACAAATCCGTATATACATGACATATTTAATATGAATTATATATTAGTCTTACGCCACTTACATTATAATCCGTCGTTAACATATATATTGTACAAGACTTTTTTTTGTACATACACATTCCTTTGTTGTTTATATTTACAGTAAATGTTCATTTTCACATTTCGTTTATTTAGTACAATATTCATATGTACGTTGTAGTTGTTACATTACCTGTAGAGAAATAATGTAGATGGAAATATATTCGAAGTTATAACTAACTAGATTTGTCATTTGACTCTTACTGAAACTGATGTGGTTTACATCTAAGCGATCCGCTCTGGTATCACTGCCAAAGTTTTACTCTAGTATTAATGACATCCCTTGCATAAAAAATTTACATTTTATGTATTAAGTTAAATGGGTTTTTTTAACAGCAAACTAGAATTTCATTGTGTATGCGTAAGCAATATTTGTCGAATTTTGTAGTTATATATATTCTTTGTCCTTACTTTCCAGATTTTACTTATCGTACCTTGATTCGACTGCTGGGAAAATTGAAGCTAAATTCAAGTCTAAACAAGCGTTTAAATTAAAGTCAACCCAGAAAACGGAAAGTAAGAATCTTTCATGTGAAACAATCACTCAATCACATGATCAAGTCCCTGAAAATCATAGCACTATCACATCTAGTGAAAACAAAATTGTATTTGATAACATCGTTGACGATGATGATACTACTGTTCATGATGCAAACAACGAGTTGGCTAACGATTCAACATTAATTGATTCTGTATTAAGTCTTGCATTTGATGATAACAATGATAGTGATAATTATTTTGATGATGATGACGATGATGATGGGGGTGGTGATAACGACGACGACGACGACAATAACAACATAGGTGATAGTAGTTATGCTGTGAAAATAGATAAAAATATTAAAAAATATACATCAAATCGTAAAAAATACGGTGCAAATGTAAGTGAACTTGAACAAACATTAAGTGCTTTACAATCCAATTTAAATGAATTATTAATTGAAAATGACAAATTAGATAAACAAATAATTCAAGATACAGTTGAACTAGAAAAGCGTACGGAAGAATTAGATAGGTGAGTTTCCTTTGATCAATATTTTTGCACTGATATACCTGTAGGCATTGTATATTACATTCATTACTTGATAATATAATCTCTTGTCATTATTCAAATTGACACGGAATTCTTTCTCGCGGTAATTCACATCTCTGGAGCTATCATTTTTGTCTAATGAACATTTTAATGCTACTATAACATAAGTGAAGTGATCCATTGTGATTCCTACTGTGTAGATTGGTTTGTGATTGATGTATAAGGGAGCTAAATATCTATTAACTAAGATTTCTAAATATGTTATTTCTGATATATTGAGTAATAAGTAGTAAGTAAGTAAGTAAGTAATAATCAATCGAATTGCAAATGACATGTGAAAATGATGTTTCCCAATCGTGTATGACATTTATTCATCACATTTGAAGAAGAATTATAGATCCTTAATTATATAATATGGTAAATATGTATTCACATAGTAAGTTATTAAATTATTGTTGCTAAATACAACTTAGTTCATTTCATGCAAATCTGACTGTTAATCTAATTTTCAATGAATCATACAAAAAGTGATGTATTCATAAATCATTTTTAGAAATTTCTTTTGGAAATCAAATAAATTTTTATTACTAGTCTTTGGTTTTGCACTTGGCACCTTAGCTCTTCTGTTCAAGTTGCCGTGTAGATTTAGTCTGAGATTAAAAGAAGTGACTAAGAAGTCAGATTGAGTGTTCAATTAGCAAGACATACCAGTTTTCAATTACGATAACTTTTAAATACTTAAGTGTGAGTATTTTGAAACCTCTGGATAAGTTTACTAAACCTGCTATTTATGTGCGCAAACTAACGGTATACTTCTAACCTAAAGATTATACATTTGACGTGACTTTTCTCTTTGCATGTTTTAGAAAACAAACTTTAGAAACAAAGAGTATTGAGAACCCGATCACATGTATATAGTAATAATTTATTGATAAACTATAAAACTGTGTTATCTTTTGGTAGTATTTATTATTAGTTCTACTACAACTATTTCTTCTCTTGTGGTCCTCACTTATTAACTTTCTGTCGTTATCGTCATGCGGTGTGACTAATTTGACCACTGCACATTTGTACTAGGTCGTAAGTTGTTTATGCCTACTGACTGACAGAGCAGGACAAGAATATGGGTGTGCCTAAAGCTCTTTTATTTCAAGTCTAATAGACGGTTAAATTTATTGTTATAAAGTACGACCACTGTTGATGCATAATCTTGACAAGATAAATTCATTTATGGAATTCTTTCACGAAATCTTATTTAACAAAAAGGCGAAACTTTAAGAAGGTGAAGACAATTTACGACTATTACATTCAAATTCAGTCAGTCAGTCAGTAACAACGTAGAACTTCGTACGTACGTACATCAGTTCGAGTTGCCACACCACATTAGCACAGAGATGCAATTGTCGATTCAAATACCGTAGTGGTAGAGGTAGCAAGAGTATAAGCAGTAATCGGGAAGATTAGGGTTTGGAGATGTTATTTAAAGAGTATAATCCAGTGGAATAAGTTTGGAAAGAGAAAAAAGAAAGGGACATGAAGAATTCAGAAGATTAGAATTTGAGAGAACACAAAGAGTGGATGCACCTGCGCCATTGCAAACGATTTTGGGCCATGTTATTCAGGATCTCTAACCATCGGTTGCTATCATCTCGTGGTCCCCAACCAGATAGTCTACACCTACCAACATGAATCAGTCCACTTGTCAGTGACTTCATGGACTTGTGCCATGTTTTGGTTTGGCCGCCCCTAGCTTTCTTCCAACCTACTCCTATACCACTGAACATAGCACGTCGAGGTAGTCGGTCGTTGGGCATACGTAACACGTGTCCCAGCCATCTCAACTGATGAAGTTTCACTACTTCATCAATTGATTTGCCATCCTTACCTAGTACCCGTTTCCTAACAACTGTGTTACTTACTCGATGGTCCCATGATATACGAGCAATATTTCGAAGACACCTATGATCAAATACTAGTAATCTACGAATATCCTCTACTCTTACCGACCATGTTTCACTGCCATAAAGTAGGACGGAACGAACTGCTGCGCAGTAAACCTGTCCTTTGGTTGATAGACGGATATCTCATCTACGCCATAAATGACGCAAGTTGGCAAAAGCTAGTCGAGCCTTCTGTATCCGTGCTGAGATTTCGTCACACACCAGACCACAAGGGCTGATGAGACTTCCAAGATAAGTGAAGCGATCGACACGCTCAATTACTTCACTCTCTATCACTAGTTCGGGTGTCGATGTGACCCAATCCTGAAGCAACATTTTGCATTTCGAGGGAGAGAATCGCATCCCGAACATGCTTGCATTGTTGTTTAGAGTGGTCAGAAGACTCTGCATTTTGTGAGCGTCTTCACCAAATAAAACTATGTAATCAGCATATTCTAAGTCAACAAGTGAACCTCCCGGTAGAAGTTCAACCCTTGGAAATTTAGATGAGGAGAGTGTGATCTCTAAAAGTACGTCGACGACAAAGTTGAACAAGAATGGGGAGAGTGGACAGCCCTGACGAACACCACTTGAGGTAATCAATTCTGATGACAGTTCGCCATAAGCTCTCACTCTACCAGTTGTGTTCGAATAGAGAGCCTTTATAAGGTTAATGTACTTCTTTGGTACTCCTTTCAGTGACAAACACTGCCATAGAACCTCACGATCAACAGAGTCGAATGCCGCCTTAAGGTCGAGAAATACTACCATTGTGGGGCGTCTGAACGTATGTCTGTGTTCTAGAACCTGGCGTAGTGTGAATATCTGATCTATACAACCATGTCCAGGTCGAAAACCAGCCTGATTTTCTCTACTCTGTTCTTTACGAGCTTTGGTTCGGCGTCGAAGTATTATTGAGGCTAATATTTTAGACACTATATTAGTCAAACTGATTCCTCTGTGATTGTCACAAGAGGAATTTTGTCTTTTCTTATAGACTGGCACAATCAGTGATTGAGACCAGTCAGATGGGATTACGTCCAGTTCCCAAATTCTACCTAAGACCTCAGTTAATCTCACTGCTAATTCTGGACCACCATCCTTAAAAATCTCAGGAGTAAACCTGTCAGGGCCTGCTGCTCTCCCTCGTTTCAGATTTCCTATGGCTTTTTCAACTTCGTAAAGGGACAGAGGACCTACATTAACTTGCCATTCAGGTTGACTAGAGATCGTGGGAAACCGAAGTGTGGCTGAAGGCCAGTTGAACTGATCCCTAAAGTGTTCTGCCCATCGATCCAATCTCCTGGATTGAGAATGAATAATATGTCCATCTTTCTCTGAGATTGTATCGCTAACAGCCGGGTTCCTAATTCCGGTTTCCTTAACGAGTCTGAACAATTGTCTGCTATTACCTATTGCCGCTGCCTTTTCCATCTCGCTTGCTTTTGCTACCCACTACTGTTCACGATCATTGCGTAGACTTCTTGTCAGCTTGCGCCTAAGTTGACTCCGCTCTTCATTATGTTCAGAGCCAGGTGGAATGAGTTTCCGAGCATCTATCAGTGCGATAGATGATGCTGAGATCCAGTGTTGCTCCCTAACCTTCTGGTTTACCTTACTGGCAGATATCACTGCTGTTTCCACAGCTTTTCGGATATCATTCCATGCTGCATCGGGGTGGGCATCACATACATGGCTGCCTGACTGTTCTTCTAGTTGTTCCTGAAATATACTCTTAGCTTGACTGTCATATAGTAGGCCCCTAAGAGGTTTACTTGCAGCGTCTTTCCGACGTCCAGTAAGACGCAGACAGATACGCGCTCGCACTAGAGCATGATCTGAATCTAGGCATTACATTCAAATTGGTCAAGTGGGTAGTATGAATAGGCGCTAATTTTTCTGGTACAGGTCAAAGAAGAGTTTTATTCATGTAAAGTTTTCACAACATTTGTTTACTAACATGTATTTATGGGTATTCGTAACTATATATATATATATATATTCTCATCTCATCCATTAGAGCTACAACTCAATATAATGATCAAAAACTGGCCTTAATAGAAGCAGAAGAAGAAATGCAGTGCTTAGAATCCCGACTAAGCTATGCTCGAAATCATTTACATAGATTACAGCGTACAAATGTACTTAATATTGCTTTTCCTATATGGTACGATGGTCATATTGGTGTAATCAATGGACTACATCTTGGTCGTTTGCCCAATCGTCCTGTAAGTGTCTTGACAATCATTATTACTTAAATTATGTAAACAGACCAAAATGATCATTAAATGTTTAATTGAAACTTTAGTTTATCGAAAGCCTGTTTAATATGATCAAGAATTTCAAATGCCCCGCCTAACGATTGATAATAAGTTTATGTTCCAATAAGTTCTTAAACAAATAAACAAAATATTCCTGTTACTTAATCAATATAGCTGATCTGTAACTAATGTCTTTTGGTAACACTTTGATAAATATTGATTCTTGTCCTTATGTAGTGAGAAGTATATTGAAAGTGTATCAAATGTTCATTCAGCTGACGATAGACTTTTCTAGACACAGACACATTAATTTGACTGAGCTTCTGCAAATAATCAAATTCCTCGATAATCGTTAATATTATTAAAGACTGAAGAATTATAAATAAATGATTTCAATATACTAGTATATTACAAGTCTGAGATCTTATTTTAGACGCAATAGTTTTTTTATATAATCTCATTGTTAAGCTACAATAACTTCTCAAGCGATACGTTAAACGTGACCTGCTCAAACCTCTCAATACCATTAATTTGGTTTTTAGAAGTAGAACAGTACAACTGTTGTGACTTTAAGTTAGGCTAGCTATCGCGTAATTTATTCGCTAATCGAAATACGACTTATTCACTCTTGTACTGTACTAAAACAATGACGTTCGACCGGTCTGATCAGTCCAGTGTCCTCATTGGTTCTTTGCTCGTCTAGCCCGTACAGTTGCGTCCAGAACACCAATAACAGTTTCCACTATGCGAATAATTTATTTCAGCCATACTTGGTTTATATACCAGCCAAACAGACCGCATCACACCATAAAATAGAAAATAACATTTATACACAATAAAGCCAAAAAGTGGCCATGAATGTGGGAGACAGTAATTAATAAACTGAGTATGATTTAAGAACGGTAAATCGTATAATAATAAATTCTAGGTCACAATGAAGCTTATAGTTGGAGGAATATAAATATACACAATCTAGTTACTGAACAGTTATACAATAGGAATATATATACAAAGAGAGAGAAATACCGTGATAGTTATGGTTATTGCTTTTTGTTATATTTCAAAAGGTTGGTTGGGAAGAGATCAATGCAGCTTGGGGTCAATGTGCTTTATTATTACAGTGCATTGGGAAGAAACTGAATCACACTTTTCAAAAGTTAGTAAATTGAGTATATTACTCACGTTTCTTTTTTGATGATAATAACTATTTAATAGTACTCTTTGTGCTATTTATTAAAAATGCAATACAGTTTTATCTTTCAGCTTCTATAAATTAATTGGTATAAACTGATTTTATGTAAGCTATTTATTAAGTACAGGTTTATCTACCCGGTTGTTAACCACCTCGTTTGTACGTAATAACTAGGGATATCACCTGGTTGTCAAAAGCGAAGTAGACGAGGAAGTGTTAAGTCTGCTACTTCAACACTACTCCATTCGACTAGTCCCCAGATCACAACGTGGCTTGTATAAGAACGTAATTATTTTTAAAAAGTTGAACTAAGTCAATACAGTCAGAAAGTGTCTGTATTTCAAATTTTTCCACAGGAAGATTCCAGAGTGTTCTTCGCGCTAACGGAATCCCACTTCAGACAAATCTGCCTTGCTAATAGAAGGAATTTGAACGTTCTAGCATTTTAGCCCGTAGTCACTTTCTCGCCGTTCTGATGGTACCTATTTTTCATCCAATTTCCACTAACTATTTCAGTCTAGTGTGAGAAGCTGCTCAGCAGTGCACCACACTATATAACTTATTGAAATATAATAAAATTAGTAGTAATTGTTAGTAGTAGTTAAATTTGAATAGGAGTTTTAATTTATATCTTGTTAATCAGTTCAAAAAAAGTCTTATTTTACATATCTCTTAAATCACAGTTTTCTAAATGGTGTGGTGAACACGTTTATGTGGTAGTATTATTTACACATTGTGTTTTATAACTATTCGATACAGTTGGTATTTGGATCGCAACTAAGTACTTGGTATCGATTCGTAGTTCCTAAATATACAGAATCGTATTCTGGTGTTGAAGTAAGGCTGAATGTATAATAAAATAAACAACCTATTAGACAGAGCATATTGATTTATTCAACAAAAAAGCAAGCAATTAGTTTGTAACCGGTTTACGATTCATGTCAAGAAATTTGTTTTAAATTATGCCTAATATATTTTGGATAAATCATTATAAAATGGAAATCTTGCTAACCAACTCACAGTTATCAAATCATTCAGTGATTATAATTTTTCTTTCTTATCAAAGTACCGTTTTTATTCCAACGTAGTGTTGAGTACTTTTTTTGTCTTCCTTGCTTTATTTTTCTCTCTATACATTTAAATTGTTAGTCATCGTATTGTGCCAATGGGAAGCCAATCAAAAGTGGTTCAACTATCGATATCGAAAGAATTTCCTCTTTATTATACTACTGGTGGCATGCGATTATTAAGTGCCGGCAAGTGAGTTGAGTTATATATATATATATATATATCACATTTTTCAAATTGATCATATGCAACATTTAGTTCAGTAAGGGCTATATATAGCATTGGGGGAATAACGAATTATCGAAGAAATCATTGTTGTTACTTATAAAACGTTTTTCCGCTCTCACATAAATTTAAACAACAAATTTTTGTCCACTTAAGCATATTCATTCAGTTTATTGTTGAAATAGACTCTTTCCAGAACTGACTACAGCCAGATAACCATTTAAAAACAAAGGAAATACTAAACAAATGTTTGTTGTGAGGAAGTGTCTATATAATACGTATACTTAGCCTTTGATCATCTATTTGCATCTTGTGGCGTGTTCTACATTTTCACTCTCCATAACCTATTGGCTGTTGTATTTGTTTTGCTGACACTAGAAATTTTATAATTTATCCAATGTAATTATTTTTTCTCTATGCCTTATTTCTTTGATATACATATACAGATTCGATACAGCTATGATAAATTTTTTAGATTGTTTAAATCAAGCTCAACAAATTATAGAGCATACATCCAATATACAATTACCTTTTCGCATTAAGGATAAGGGAAAATTACAAGATCCTGATGGTCAAATTTATTCGATTAAGTGAGCTCTTTTTTCTTGAAATTGTATTTATTGATAATTGAAATGTCAAAATCCGATGTTCACTTTTTAGTTATTTTCAAATATTGGTATACATTTTGTTTAGTGAAGAAAAAACAGTGAAGTAGGATTTCGAAGTTTTATCTAAGCCTAATGGAAAGTTATGGGTTCTTTGAAATTCAGAAACATTTGAGGGTGAAAAGTGAAAAACAGTCAGTCAGCTACAACGTAGGACCAGGCGCATATGTGCATCGTCCAGGTTGCCATACCTCATTAGCACAACAAGATGAAAGACGGATTCATAAAAGTAGTTAATTCAGAGGTGGTAATATATAAAAGAAAGATTGCATATAAGGATATAGTACAGGAAGAAAGAATTAGTTCGTAGAAAGAAAGATATGAAGCGATTTTAATCTCTTGGTTTAAAGGAAGACAGATAGTGTATACACCGACGCCATTATGATCGATTCTGAGCCATGTCACCAAGAATCTCCAGCCATTGGTTACGATAGTCACGCGGACCCCAACCAAGTAGTCTGCATCTACCAACATGGCTCAGACTAGAAGTTAGTGACTTCAAGCACTGATGCCACGTTTTGGTTTGTCAGCCCCTAACATCCTTCTAACCATCCCCAACACTAGTCAGCATTTCATGTCGTGGTAATCGGTGTTCAGGCATACGTAACACGTGGCCCAACCATCTCAGTCGATGAAGATTCACAACCTCATCAACTGATTTACCATTATTCCCTAATACCCAGTGTCTAACCTCACTATTACTTACCCGGTGATCCCAGCAGACGCCAGCAATATTTCTAAGGCATCTGTGGTCAAATACTTGTAGCTTACGAGTGTCTTCTACTCTTAATGGCCATGTTTCGCTGTCGTAAATTCAAACAGAATGGACTGCCGCGCAGTATACTCGTCCTTTTGTTGATAGACAGATATCTCGCCTTCGCCATAGGTGACGTAAGTTGGCAAAAGCCAAACGAGCTTTTCGAATCCGTGCTGAGATTTTGTCAGACACCAACCCATTAGGGTTGATCAGACTTTCAAGATAAGTGAAGTTTCGATGGAATAATGAGAAGACGGAGTACTATATCATCTTCGTATTCTAAGTCGATCAGTGGACTTTTTGGTAGGAGGTCAACGGTATTAAATGGACTCTGACCATGTTCTTTAAAATAGTAATAGTAAGTTCTTTGTAAAATTATCTACAATTCAACGGATACAATGCTGCTTTATCCAGCTGAGCTTTGAATTTTCTTCATCATTTGCAGGAGAAAGTTACTGCATGTTATATACCTTATAATGTTACAGTCAAAAAAACATAAGTAACAAAATACTTCATAGGATTTTTTTCCTTTGAACATACTTTATGTATGCGGTTTAATTGTTCTGTTCTGTACAATTTTTAGAAAGATGCTATTAACATCAATCAAAACATTATCTTGTGAGACTACCGTAAAACTGTTGCGTAATAAGCGAGAACGCTGATAGCACTATTCACACAGGTCTGAACATACAGACTCGATTACATTGCAATCGATATATCCGCGCAACAAAACAACTCGCAAAAAGATAGGGCAAAGGGAACTATTCGTGCAGAATAACTTGAACTAGTTATATTTTGTGACCATGCTCATCAGCTGCCTTCAGACTGTAATATTTCAATATTAAAACTTACGTATTTAGTTAAATATATTCTATAGGAACGAATTTGCTCAAAATAGATAGCTGGACACAAGGTATTGAACATAAAGAATAAATAATTAGATAAACTCAGTTCGTTATAAAGTATAGATCTGCGACTGAAGAGTTTGCAAATATGTAATTCAAATGTAAAAATACTGCAATCTCCACTAATCCTCATACTAATAATAATCATGTGCTCACTATTGACTAGCTTCAAGATGGGACTCCCGGAGTTTTAGAGAGAAACCGTGACCAGTGGAGTCTAGTCTGTGTCGGATGTGAGACAGTTATCTACTTCATATAATGAATGAAGGGTTGAGCAAGATCATGGATCGATTGAAGTTAGACATTAACACTGTTAAATGCCAACTCAGTGGTCTAGAGGATAAGCGTTTGAATGCGAGACCGAAGGTCCTGGATCCGATTCTCACATGCGGGATCGTGGATGGGCACTGCTGAGGAGTCCCTTACTAGACCGTAACGGCTGTTTAGTGCTTTCTGGTTTTCAATGATGGTCTAGCTTAAATCGACTCATGAAGAAAACTGAAAAAAAAACTCTTATCTCCACAAATCCTCAGGCTGATAATATGTATTATAATTAAATAAAACTTATGCATCGAAAACTGCATACTTTTACAAAATACTAATCAGCTTTCAGGTACTTGAAAGGTATAGTATTCATGCAATAAAGGAAATTAGAGCTTAGCTGTTTTTCAATCAATTAATATGGCTTCAAAATGCCTATATGATATCAGAAAAGTGTCTACAAATCACACCGCTACTGAATGCTTTCATTCTTCCTAAATAAACACATTTGAAATTTTCTTTTAAGAACATTAAACCGAGTTAGATCACTTAATTGAAACAAAGCTAAATTATTCATATCTTTTTTAAAAAAAAAAATTTTTTAAACTATTCACTTAAGATGGAATGGGAATTCTGAAGAAAATTGGACTAAAGCTTTAAAAATGATGCTTATCAATATGAAATGGATTATAGCTGCATTATCTACGAAAAAGAATAAAAAAGCAATTAATATTCAATCAACTCCTAGTACTATTGATAAATAATCCAATAATAATAGTATGTCTATGTGTGAGCTAAAACATTGATGTAATTCTCCTTCTCCTATTGTACAGTATATGACTACAGTTGTGAATGGTTCATTTTGATTAATATAAGGAATTATTGTATTGTCTTTCAACATTATTTTCCATCTATGTAATAATTGTTACATAATACATGATGAAATAATCATTGTTTACGTTTCTTTTTTCATCAGTGATGGGTGAATTAAAAAGTATTTTATTATTATTATTATTATCATTATCAAAAAGAGTATTGTGTATATAATTGTTTCATTCTTTTATTGGTACTTTTACCCTTTTTTTATTGATCGACTACAAATTCTTTTCTATAAAATAAATTCATGTACTACTATTTAGAATTGACTTCTTGGTCAACAATCGGGAAAAGTAATTTTTAAGCGAATAAAAATGTTATAGGATTCATGTTTATATAATAATATTTTCAAATGCCTTCTATTATATCTATACGGTTTTCACATTTACTGGTTTTAGTTACATTCGAAATTTCAAAATATTGCATTGTAGTGAACGAGAATATCATATTTCATTTGAAAAATGTCTATCAATTGTCTAAGACTTTGTTGTTCCTCCATTTCCACACCATTCTTTGTCTGTCCCCGTTCTCTTTTATTTGAGCTTCGCAATGTTCTGCTGTCAGACATTCAACTTTCGATTGGTGTCACATACTACTTATGTATGTTAACACAAGTAGCACACATCATACTAATAGGAGAAATATTGTATGATTGTGGATACACGATCTATTGTCATGTTTGAGATAGTTTAGTATAAGTTCAAAGGCAGTGAGGAAATCATGATAGTATTCAGGTAATACAAATTTCATGAAGCTTTTGGATGTAGAAAAAAATAACGAGGCTGAATTTTGAATTGGTTGATTTACCTTCTTCAACCAGATCTTAATGTTTAGAAAAATTCCTATACTGCGATTTGGAACAACGAGTATAAGCGAACAATATTGTTTTCAATTAGATCCTCATCAGGCTTGATCTAATATACAGTAATATTTATATACATATACGAAATTATTAAACAAAACAATGTAGTGTATGAGTCAATGATAACAGTGGGATAGATTAGATAAATGTGCACAGTAATTAAAAAGTACAAATTGATAGTGTGATGACAGGTGTACTATTTATGATAAGAATAACAAATGCTTGAATGAATGTTTTATAATAGGAGATAGTTCAATGACTTGAAAAATATAAACATTGAAATAACATCCAAAATAAACTAAGATTACGCAAGGTATTCAATTATAATTTCGTATATGCACATTTGTGTTATTGTATTAGGTTAATACATGTCCAACTGAAGAAACCTTGTGTAAGGATCGTATTTCTCGTTTGTATTGGGCCAATAATTACCCATTATTATATAATGTTTTCTAATTTGATTTGTGACTAATTCAATTTTGAAATTACATAGTTATGCATGATTTACGTCCATCTTATGGTAATTTGGTGTTACAACTTCGCCCAACAAATGCCAGGGCTCTAGTTGATGATATCTATCTGCAGACAATATAACTCAGTTGACAAGGTACGAAATAGAGAGGTATTAGTGTGAACTTATTGTCAAACACGATTTTAATATTAATACGAACGGAAATCGGTAAAATTCTACTTGTTCAGCCAAGTTTATGATAAGATGAGGAGTAGTACACACCTGCAAAGATATACCTGGCTGTTGTTTTTAATAATCCTAATAGGTGATGTGTTCATGTGGTGTATACTTATATAGTTTTGTACTTTAATATTTATTTAGATAACAATGGAAAATCGATTTCAAAGCTCACATGATCGTAATAGTTGCAGCTATAACGGAAATCGATTAAAAATAAAAAGGATTTATGTGACCAATTTTAGTTTAGAATTTGATCTAAACAGTCTACTCTTATTTTCGGTTGTTTGATAGAAGCTCTCAGTAATCAGTCATATGTAACATAACCGGTGCACATGTGCATCAGGTAAAGCTGCCACTTCACGTTAGTATAGACTAATAGATGTAACCATATCAATATTATTGGAGACGATTAGGTATAACCAAGATACTTCAAGGAAAAAAGGTACAAATCATGAGTCATCAATAGTCGAAAGATCCAGTTTGTTTATAGATTTGATGTAACCGAGAAAATATTTTTTCTCGTTTTCAGGATGTAACAGTAACGGAATAACACTAAGACTTGATACATTAGATAAGCGTTCTCTACATTATGCAAAGATATATGATTTACGACCAGTAATTGAGAACCAGATAACAAACCAGACAACCTATGTGTATAAGCTTTTTAAAATTTCTCATTGACATTTGGGACTACGGTTGACCGGCCGCTTTTGGCACCTGTGTGGACTGCCCGGATATTGCAGGCATATCTGACTGAGGAACCCCAAGTAGGACCAAAGGTGCGCCCTGGATCCCACTGCTACTAACTATCCGTCTCTACTTAGCAATGCTTGTTACTTATTGGGAATATTAAGGTAATCCTCATAAGTTATATATGTACCAAGAGAAACTGATCAATTGCAGTCTTAAACATCAATGAGGAGATTGAAACAACGTATACAAATAAGCTAAACTATCTAGGCTCAGCGGCTAAGTGGATAGCGCGATCACGTTTGAAGCGAATGTTACTGGGTGAAAGTCCCAGAACGAGCTTAAACAGGACACTGCTGGTTATTATCTATCTCTGTTCGCAGATTATGTGACACTAATAATAGCAGTTCACACTGATTGGAGCTTACAACGAAATCAGTCATAGGAAATAATTTTAAATAATATGTAGTGTCACAATATTTAGCAAGGCTGTATCTTTTTGTCTCCGCTCACCGGTCAATCGCATTTACCAACTTTAGAATGTAAATCAAAAAATCACTGTTGTAAGTGGGTTCCTACCAGTCGTGCGAATAAAAGCTACTTGATCAACTTAACTAAGCTTAGAGATTTCGATAACCAATTATAATAGATTATTAGAGACTGAACCTTCATTAAGTACGATTCCACTGACTTTTAGAATATCTCATTTGTTTTAAATGCTTGGTTTAAGTTGTCTAATTAACTTTGTATGGAATGATTGCATTAATCTAAAATCACTTCTTGATGAATAACGTAGGTGCCACACCGAAAAAAGATAATTAAATTACGTTATTTACCACTAGGTTTCAACTCAATGTCATACATGACTTTCATATTGTCCTTATTAAAATAAGTGAATCAACTAAGCTGTTGATTTTATTTTACACTGGGCAGCTAGTCATAGAAAAACGTACTTGGGGCTTTTTGATACTCATTATCAAATTCAGCTGCATGTTGTTCCTTATACTAAAAGAAAATTTTATGTAGGAGAGACGAGTCGGAGAATTCCTTCTGTAGATCCATAGGTATACAATATATTTAGGTATGTTTGAAGGCATTCATAAGAGATGTACTAATATGTTCGATAATATTTCTTTCTTTACGTATCACTTCAACTGATAGGTGACGAGATGGTTTCAGCGTAAAGTCGTAAGTGCGGGCGCTAGTATAAAAAATCTGTTTACTGCTGGATAGTTTTATTAATACCTAATCCGAAGTGACGAATACGTTCTTCCGATTAGAAGAAGCCCTACAAAACCACTTCATCTAAACAACTTGTATATGTATGATTATGAAATAATAAAGCGCAATCTTGCGTCACCTACATATGTTTCGTGCGTATTACTTTTACACTTAAATGGAAAAATTTGGAAGAAATTTTAGTGAGGCTTCGAAAGTAATTATGATCATCTTACGTTAATACTTCTGAATTTTTCTTTTAAAAATGATATTAATGAGAAAAACTAATTAATTAAAACTTTGACAATAGCCGGTCAAATTCACTGTTAACAGATTGCGGGGAAATTTTATTTCAACAAGTCAGTAAACTACGCGCTTGAGATATTTATTTATTTATTTTGACACATAAACATTGGTACAATGAGACACCAAATACATATGCGCCACACAGATCTCGCATGATATGTATGAGAGCTGTAATACTGCTCGGGTGCCCAAACCGAAGCAGGTGGTTTTCTTAGGGGGCCACACCCCGAGCCTTCGACCTGAAGGTCTGATCCACAAGGCAGTGGAGCATCGTAAGGAGATGTAGTCTCATGGAAGTCAGTGACCGACGATTGGTTCATACGCCATTTGTTCCCGCAGGATACTGGAGCCCATGTGCACCATTGATTTGGAATCCGGTTAGAGCGCCGGACATTCGCTTTTCGTCCTCTCAATTTCGTAAACAACACCCTCGCCACGAGAAGGCAGTGAGTAGGACTTCCCTGTCAGAGGTTATATACGCGTGGCCATGTGAGAGCATTTCGAGAGGGAGAGCAGACTCTCCCCTCTCGGCCATACCAAGGCATTTGGAGGCTTTGAGATATTTAGTGCGACCAATATATAAGTCTAGGGAAATAAACTGAAGAAGTCGCAAATTACAATTAATCGGTAATTAAATAATGAGCAATGTTGTTTTGTATACGTTAAAATGTTAAAACTAGTCTAAGTGATATGACAGCTCATACATTATGTCGAGGTTTATAGTAATTGATGTAATCAATAGTTAACTCTGGATCTAGATTTCATGCTGCTTGGCATTGGTCAGGAAGGTGTACCTGTAATCTTGAGAAAACTGATGCATCCTGTGGGATTTAAACACACGTCAACCAGCTTCGCAGTCATAGACGTTACCACCAAGCTATTTGTTCCGCGACTGACTTGTAAAACAAATATTTTTACAATTTATCGATTGCCGAATAGTGGATAACGTCATGTTTGTTTAGCCCTTTTTTAATAATCAGGAAATAGCAATGAATTAGTTTTTTTGAAAATGATCCATAAATAATTTCTTGTAATGTTGTCATCAACACAAAAAATTTCAGTCACATTAACTGTGAATGACAGACGTTATATATGTATGTGTAGTAAATGGAACACTAATGCACTACAAATTATTAAACTATTTTAATTTAAGGAACGTTAGAAAATGAATTAAATATTTTGTTCAACCTTTGTATATAACAATGTCACCTGTAACAGAACCAAAACAAAATCTATTGAATTTCTGTAACAGTATTAATTTATGAAATAAATTTCGTATATTACTTTTAGATGTTCAAAGCATTAATTCTAGAATGTGGATTACTTCTATGATGTTATGGAAGAAGCAGTGACGTAGTTAAATAGCGTGAAAGTAATGCAGTAGAGTAGGTGGGTTTATGATTTTTGATCCTCGTGATCATTTCATTACCTTATATTTTTTTATTAATTCATTCTAACCATGTAACAACATTCCTCGAAAGAATCTCGAACTAAC